ATAAGAATGTGTGATTGTATGTATTTGTTTGATGAAATACGTATCAAGTATATGCGCACTTTTTAAACACATTGGTGTAACGTTTATTTAATGTTAGGGGATAAGCAATAGCAGAAAGGCACATAATGAAAGCGCAAAATCTGCTTAAATCGTTTAACATTCTTTTCTTTGTAGTTTGATTTGTTGGAAAAAGAAAACAAATACATACAATCACACATTCTTATCATGTTGTTGTTATTTGAAGGTAAACACAAAGCTAAACAACTGGCTATCTGTGCTCTGCCATCACGGGTATCGAAACCCGGTTTCTAGCGTTGTAAGTCCGCAGACATTCCGCTGTGCCACTGGTGGGCGTTCCTATTATGAGATATGCAATATGACTAGCGTATAATACCCATTATCTTCAGCTATGCTGAGAACAGTATTAGAGATGTTCTTTGGTAATATCGCTAATATTTAGTAATATTGTAAAGAGCTTTGTAAAGCGGCAAGGCCTAGTGATTAACGTCCAGGACTGTGAACACGAGAGTCCACGGTTCGTGTTCTGTTGACGAAAAATTGAGTTCCATACTTTGGGGTGGCGAGTGCACTGCAGCAGCAACGATCAAAACCCAATATTCGATTAGAGTAGCCCAGGGGTTGGCAAAGGGCGCGCTGTTGATCTTCGTCTTGTTTATTAGTTCGAAACTAAAGAGTGCTAGCGCCGATAGCCCTTGTGTAGCTTTGTGCAAGTGTCCGAAACAAACAAACTTTGTCAAGTAATACATAATTTCTGTTACCCAGTAACGATTAAATGAAGCTTTTGCTTTGTTTTACAAGTTTGCTATTCAACTTACATATCTTGCTCTGTTGGAGGGTACGAGACCACCACTTGAACATATAACATGGCTGAACCAAAGTGTTTCGTCAGGGGTTTGTTTGTTTGTTTCTAGGCGCAAAGCTACACAATCCCATCATAGGTATCGAACCCCGATATTTACCGTAATAAACCTCAAGATTATTGTTGAACTACCAAAAAGCGATATACGAGAGAAGAAATGATACGTAATAAATTTCGAAATGCTTGGTCTCCCGCGATGTATTGCGCTTATGACGTACTGATGTCATACACGTACCAGGAGCTTGCTGATACAATATTTAAAGATGGGTTTTTGGAAGGTCTAGCAAGCCATACATCGGCTACAGAGGTTTGTTGGACAGGAAACTTATCGGCACTAGAATACTGATAACTAGTCGCGAATTTTACAAAGTAATGAATGCTATTTCAATTTAACAATTGGTTGTGTTTAGTCAGAAAAGAATTGTGTTGGGGTGTCATGAAGAGGGCTGCATTTTGACCTTGAGCGTGGTACCTCTGTGTTCATGGATATCAGAGATCTCAACCACACTGCAGAGGCCATTGTAGAGTACGTGTGTATGTGTTTGTGTTTTTCAACATACCAATGTGTTATATGGAAGGTTAATAAACTTTATTAGAACCAATTGCAGCAACTACGAGGTACTGTTAATGGCGAATTCCCAAACTTTTAATGGTGTTTTGGGGCAACTTCTAGCCTTATGTCTGAATTAATTCTTCAAAGTTCTTTCTTAGGAAGTATATCTGCATGGCAAAGAGATGCAAAGTCCAATTTCAACGACAAATATCTATAGTCTAGTGAATGACATCAACAAGAAAAGATAGGCACATACTATCCCACCTTATGCAAGCCTGCTGACACAATTGCCAAACTTCATAGACTCGTCGGCCAGATCCCTACCAACTACACCAAAAAACTGAAACCTAACAAGTTGTAAATATGCACAAGATAATCCACAAAGATCTAACCCTTGTAAAGATGCATAAATCTTGTGTGCACAAGCTGCTCCCCAGATACTTTGGCGACAAGAACCCTATTGAAAAGTTGTATAAAATACATTGCGCGTGAAATATTGGAACTAGAGGGGCCTGTGCGTACTGGAATTACTGCAAGAAGAAACGGGTGATTTAGAAACGACTTCAACGACCTAAACGGTATAGAAAATGGAAGAAAATATTTAATTCGGACTTCGAGGTTGCTGGAGGTTTCCTACATAATGTGAAATATAGGTTTTTACAGACTGGACAGCATTGAAAATGTAAACTTTATTTGTTATCAGTAGAACTAAGAATGCCAAGAAGGTATTGTTACATCAGGAGAGTTTCAGGCTACACGTCTTAACACCCACAGCAATAACTTAGTGAACCAAAGAGAATAAATCTCGTGTTCTGACATAACCTTTTAAAGTCACCAGACTGCACACTCATGATCTTCTATGTATTTGGTTTGTTTAACATGGTATTGAAAGCTAATGTTATATATGTTGCATAGGGTGAGAGAATCTATAGAAAGCTTTTAAAGATGAATAGTCTAAGATTGAATCTGCTATCTTTTGCAAAAACTAGTTACAACCGAAAGAGTGGATTTTGAAAGAAACAGTACATACATGACCATTAGACTGGGTAAAATAGATGATGGAGGAAGTGGTTTCAAGGGCAGCATGTGGCTTTCAACATTAACCTATGCACCAGCAACATTATACTCCTTGCCACAAAGCACACATCTAGAGGTTGATGCTAAAGTTCTTACCATAACCTTCCAATTGTCATCAGCTGGCTAAACTTTTGAAAATCAATGGGAACAAACCACACCACAAAACAT